GTAACGCATTACTTTTAAAAGTAACTTTCCCCAACACTGGTTACAGAACGACTGTTGTACTGCTGTACTGTCGCACAGAAACTGAAATATCCATTATAGATTGCTAATAGAGTCACTCACCTCACATCTGCATTGACCGCTAAAGAGAAATAAGAAATGCATGAGAGACAGAAGTGTGTGTGCCGCGGCCCCGGGCCCCATGCTTGAGCTATAGAGCAAAGAACACCTGTGGATTCATCTGATATCAGCACAACAATGCTGTAAAAGATGCATAAAACGATGAAAAGTGCAAAGTTGGCATGATGGAGCTGATAGGAGAGACAGCAGATCAATGATTGACAGAGCTGTAAACGTTCCGATATCATCACTTCAGCTCTCACTGGTTCAAAATCACAATAATACAGTCATGAGCAGAACAAAAAACAGGTTCGTCAGAACATTCACAACAACTAACAGAGTTTCTAATGGAGAAAAATGTATCAGAAACATCACAAGTACCTCAAGAGATAACAGCACTGCAAAGAGTGGCTTCGAAGAAAATTAAAAACTACATTTGTGTTTTCTTACCAGGAAGAAACCTTGGGAAGAGCCAAGATTCAGCAGACGCAGCCTAATCTATATAATATTTGGCTGAGATGCAACTATTTGTAAATCTGGAATCTGAGCGTGCAAAAAAATCTAAATATTGAGAAAATCATCTTTAAAGTTGTTCAAATTAAGTTCTTAGCAATGCATATTACTAATCAAACATTATGTTTTGATATATTTACGGTAGGACATTTACTAAATATCTTCATGGAACTTGATCTTTACTTAATATCCTAATGATTTTTGGCATAAAAGAGAAATGTATAATTGTGACCCATACAATGTATTGTTGGCTATTGCTACAAATATCCCCCAGCGACTCAACACTGCTTTTGTGCTGCAGGGTCACGTATTAGGTGATGTATTCTGACTACTTTTGGATTACATTTGACATAGCTCATAAGAAAATATTTCCCAATCTTTGTTCTCAACATCATGAAGTGCATTAAACATTACTTATGCCAGGGTTTCCCAAACTGGAGTTCATGAAAGAACTGCAGAGAGTTTGTGAGGAGATGAAAAGCTAATGATGAAATAAATCATCAAAATATCGAAATCAGGTTACCGTGAGACGGAGTAGCAAAGTTCTTATGTTCAGCGATTAAGTTAAACTATTAAACACTGAGGGCACGGAAACGGGGCCAGATTTCCTGATGATGAGACTTGGCTGAATAAGATAAGATAAATCACAGAGAAAGACAACATAATGACAAGTATGTGTGTGTGTGTGTCTCTGTGTGAGAGAGAGAGAGTGTGTGTGT